TAGATATATATATATATGTGTGTGTGTGTGTGTGTGTGTGTGTGTGTGTATATTTTCTAGAGGCCCAGTGCACAAAATTCGTGCAGGGCGGGGGAGGGGGGTCCCTCCGGCAGTCAGACATCCCTCTCATAATCTTGGACTGCTGGCTCCTAACTGCTCACCTATCTGCCTGCCTGGTTGCTCCTAACTGCCCTCCCCAGTCAGCCTGGTCACCCCTAACCGCCTCTGCCTTGGCCCCTGCCACCGTGGCTTTTTCTGGAAGGATGTCCAGATGACGTTCAGTCTAATTAGTATATTACCCTGTTATTAGTATAGATAAGTATTTGTCATATTATTCTCTACTTTTCTATATGTATTTAAAATACTCCAGAATATTTTAAGCGAATAAAAAAATGGTCAAGTTGCAGAAAAATAAAAGTTTTGAAATACAACCTGGTAGGCCTGAAAACAACATTTGCGTAAAAGGGCAAAAGTTGCGGTCGGCAACAAAACTTGTTGTTAGGATTGCTTGGTTAATATTCTTTTGTTTGAAAGGTGTGGTTTGGGCAAAGGAGAAAAGGAAACCAGCCCAATAAAAGGGAATGTCTGATTGAGCCGTTGCCGCAGCAGAGAGGGGCAGGTGCGGCAAAGGTTCAGGCTGTCCCGCAGGCAAGGATGTCTGTGTGTATGGAACACCAAAGGACACCAGGCACACCTGAAACACAATTTGCTAACACTCACAATTGCAGAACTCAGGAAGAATCACTGCTTTTAATACTATTATTTCCCTGACATATAAAATATACATACATATATGTAAACATGCCCTCTTCTGAGCTTCCCCTGCCCTCCACTGAATATTTGGCTATGGCCTTCTTTTCATGTCAACAAATTGGATGTACAGACATAGTTTTTAGTGGCTACAGTGTTATCCCTGACTGTTTGACATTACTGTGGTTTACTTCACTAACCCTTTATTGTGGGGCAGGTTGTTTCCGGTTTCCCCTGGCATCAACAACTACAGTAAACATAATTGCTTATTTGACTGTTTACTTAGGACACATTCATAGAGAACTCCTGGGCCCAAAGCTAATTCACTTGAGTTTTGATCCACATTTCTAAATTGACTTTCCATAAAGTGCTTCTGTTTGTTTAGTCCATTGGTTTTAAATCAGATTACACTCCCACAAACGGGTTAAGAGAAAACTGTTCAATGCGCCTTGGGCAAATCGCAAACTCTTGCTGAACTAGAGTGACCTCCTGGCAGGGGACCTGGAGGATCCGGGCTGGAGGGTGAAGTCCAGGGAAGCTGGGTGGCGAGGTGGAGGGCCCTGTGTGAGTGCGGGCATGTGAGTGTGTGTTGCTTGGGTCCACACTCATGCACACACCCACACACCCTCACTCCAGCTCTGCACCCTTGGCCTCCAGGAACCTCCGTGGAGCTTGCCCTGAGCTCGGATGCATTTAGTCCCAGCACCAAACAAGTCTGAGAAAGTTTCCCCAGACTGACTCCCGCTGCATGGACGGGAGGCGAGACCAGGAGGATCTGGGCTGGAGGGTGAAGTGCAGGGAGGCACGGGTGGCGAAGCCGAGGGCCCTGTGTGGGTGCGGGCGTGTGAGTGTGTGTCGCTCTGGTCCATGCTCGTGCACACACCCACACGCCCGCACCCCGCTCTGCACACTTGGCCACCAGGAACCTCGAGGAGTTCAGCCCGCTCCCTAGTCCCCTCCCACTTGGTCGAACCTTCAGTGGTTGCGGACCCTGGCTCTTTATATAAATGTGTGTGTGTGTGTGTGTGTGTGTGTGTGTGTGTGTGTGTGTGTATATATATACATATGTATATGTTTAAATATTTCATTCAGTATTTGTTTTGAAAAATTTTTTAAGGCTGTTATGCTATATGTAGTCTTTTAATACATTTTTTCACTAAATATTGTTTTACTAAGACAGTGATGGGGAACCTTTGGAGCTCGGCGTGTCAGCATTTTGAAAAACCCTAACTTAACTTTGGTGCCGTGTCACATATAGAAATTTTTTGATATTTGCAACATTAGTAAAACAAAGATGTATATTTTTGATATTTATTTTATATATTTAAATGCCATTTAACAAAGAAAAATCAACCAAAAAAATGAGTTCGCGTGTCACCTCTGACACGCGTGTCATAGGTTCACCATCACTGTACTAAGACTTAACCATATTGTTGCCTAGAGCTGAAATTTGTCTGTTTTACCTCTACATAATATTCTATTCTGGGACTATACCATAGTTTATTTATCTAATCTTCATCAATAACTGTCTTAGCCTATGCATGTTCCCTAGAAAAGCAAAACCTGAAGCAAAGCTCCTATACTAAGTATGTGTAATGAGGTGGTGGAATCGCAGCAAAGCTAGAGTGAGTGAAAATAAAAAGTGAGGCAGAGAATGAGGGAAAGCTTATACCAGATACTATGTTTCTGAGCTGGCTATAATTTCATAAGAAAATGCAGTTGATGGCTTATGTAGGACAGTCTTCCAGGCGGTCATGTGGAACCAGCCATCAGGGAAAAGGAAGGATTTATCTGCTGGCCTTTTCAGTCCTCTGTCTCCTGTTAATTAGTCCATGCCCATGAGGGTTAATTTTTGGACTGTGTTACCCAATCCTCTGGGCAATTTCTAGGGAAGCCAGCTCACTCACTCTGTGGCACAGCACTTCCCCTGAACTCAGAAATGGTGGAAAAAGCTAGGTAGAGCCTTAGTAGTCTAAGCAAGTCAAATATGGGCTTCTGATGTGTTACAGCTCCTACTATGTGGAACACATCAACCATGCCCAAGCCCAGTCCTTACTGCAGAAGAGGTTGAAAGAGCTGGTAATGGATGGTAGGAGACAAGGTGAGAGGAGAAGTAGCCAGGAGTCCACTAAGCAATCAGCCAAACCCTAGTGGGCAAGTAGACTGAAGTGAATCTGAAAAGACACATATATAGTGGTGAACTGGGTTATTTCTTTTCTTTTTCTTTCTTTTTTGTACTATGAATAATTCTGCTAGGAAGACTTTTTGTATGTTCTAGTACATTGTACAGGGTACAAAATTTTCACTTAACTCTTTAACTAAACGTGGAATTGAATGGATCACAGTCTATCAGTAATATTATACAAAACTATCATAATGTTTTCCAAACTCCTTGTAAAAATTTTTACATTTCCATCAGCAATATATAAATGATTCCTTTGTTCTACATGCTGTCCAGTACTGCTTATTTTTACAGCAAGGAGATGGACTGATTATTTTTTAGTTAAAGATGGGGAAGAGGAGGAGCTGACCTTGAAATGCTTTTCACTAACTTATCCTGTCACAGCTATGACTTGTTACTCTTCCCCAAGCTACAACCAAAACCCTCTCATCATCACCTGCATACACACACATACTGTCTCTCTCTCACACACACACACTACAGCACTACACCTATATTTACCAGTTCAAAAGAGTCTTTTTCCACTGGGTTTCTTTCTTTTATTTTTTAATTTCTTGGATACCATGTTTTCCTTTATGGTTTCCTCAGAATCAATTTTAGTGGTAGGGAGCCAACAATTTATGTTGATTTATCATTGAGTGTGGCTTTGGTAGTCATTGTATTCTTAGTTCTCATTAATTGACACATCAAGCATATGACACACCTTCTTCCTTCTTCAAATACTTTATCATTTTGCTGAATAGTCACCTTCTATCTTGGTATTTCGCTTACCTCACTAGTCACTTCTTCTCATTCTCATTTTGGGTGCATCTTCTCCCTAATCTCTAAACATGAAATGATCCAGACTCAGTCCTTATATTTTTTCTCTTCTCTCTTTGATTTAATGGGTTCATTTGCATATGATAATACTAAGTATTGTTTTCTGAACTTGAGTTTTATTTTTACACACACACAGACACACCCTTTTTGTGCATAAATGAAATATATAAATGTTTAACATTGCTTTTGTCAAAACATTTGAAAAGCCCTGAGATTTTATCTAGTCTCCTTTTATATGTCTCCAAGAGTCATCTCAAATTTAATATATCTAATAATAAACTTCTAAGTACTTCCCCCACTCATTACCCTCAACTCCTTCTCTTTGCACATTCTTCACATCTCATTACATGGGAACTTTATCTTTCTATTTGATCAGGTCTAAAACTTTAGGATAATCCTCTTTCTTTCACACTCCACATTGAATCCCTTAGCAAATCTTGTCAACTCATTAGCTAACTAATGCTGCCTAAAAATAAAAATAAAAAAATAGTGACTAAAACAATAACAATCATTTACTTGCTTACACTTCTGCAATTTGGGTAGGGCTTGCCAGAACAGCCTATCTCTACTCCACATAGTATCAACTGGGGTGGCTCAGCTAGGGCCAGGGATCCACTTTGAAGTTGGTTGGCTCACATATGTTGGATAAATTGTTGTTGGCTGTCAGCTGGTAGCTCAACTGGGGCTGTTCGCCAAGTGTTTAATTCTCTAGTGTCCTCTCCACATGGCTAAATTAGACTTCTCACAGGATGGTAGGTTCCAAGAGGGACATACCAAGAGAGAGCCTTCCAAGAAGACAAGCTCCAGTGTGTGGCATTTATCAACCCTCTCTTTACATCAGTTACTATTATGTCATTGGCTAAAGCTAGTTACAAGGCCAAGCAAGATTCACTGTAGGAAGGGATTTTACAAGGGTATGAATACCAAGATGTATGGCTCATTGCAGGCCACCAAAGGAACAATATACCACAGCTATGTATTTCAAAATGCAAGCAGTCCTCACTATACACAATAATTTGGGACCATAAAAATTATTATGCTGCTGAAACCCTGAAAGGCAATATTAATAATCAGTGGGGAAAGTTATGGTTTGACAAAAATTTAGAAAGTTTTGTCAAAACATTTGTCAAAACATGAAAACTCTCCTGCTGTTGATTATAAAGGTACAAATTAGGACAATAAAAAATATACTAAACCAAATATTTGTTTATTTAGTACATTCTAATTTAAGACATTAGAAAAATTTATAGTATTTCTTTGCCAAAAAAATTTACCAAAAAGTAGAGCAATCTAAGCTTAAAGCTAGCAGAAGGAAGAAAGGAAATACTAAAGATTAGAGCAGAAATTAATGAAATAGTCAGTAGGGAAACCATAAAGAAGATCAACAAAACTAAAACTGGATTCTTTGAAAGGTTAACAAAAAAAGACTCATTTCTAAAAGTAGGAATGAAAGAAGAGACATAAGGGAACACTTTTATTTATGAACAACTATATGCCAACCAACACATTAGATAACTTAGATAAAATGGATAAATTCTTAAGAAAGACACAAAGTACCTCTTCTATTCACTGTTGCACTGATAGGACAACAAAGAATGAAAAAGACATTCAGATTGAGAAGGAAATGTACAACTGTATTTGTAGGTTATGTCATAATTTATATAGAAAATCCTATGGAACCTAACATAACTAATAAACAAGTTTACCAAGATTGTAGGATACACCATCACCACCTAAAAATCAATTCTGTTTTTACACAGAAAATAGATGAATGGTGAATAAATAATTGGAAAAAAATCTCAACTTGACTATTACCAGTAGAAATACAAATTTAAATATAGCCCTGGCCGGCTTGGCTCAGTGGACAGAGCGTCAGCCTGTGGATTGAGGGGTCCCAGGTTCAATTCCGGCCGGGGGCACATGCCTGGGTTGCGGGCTTGATCCCCAGTCGGGGGGTGCAGGAGGCAGCCGACCAATGATTCTCATCATTGATGTTTCTATCTCTCCCTTTCTCCCTTCCTCTCTGAAATCAATAAAGAAATATATTTTTTTAAAATTTTAAATATAATTGATGTACAAATTAAAATGCACAATTTTGCAGGCTCTTTTTATACGGTAAATTGATAATATTCAGTGTTTGCAAAGGTCTGAGTAGAAGAACAGTTTAAATAATCTATTAAGATTGGAATGGCTTAAAAATTATAATAGAATTCCACAATGGGGTACTGTACAATAGTTTTTTAAATGAGATAATTCTTTGTGGCCCAACATGGAATGATCTCTAAGATACCTTATATTAAAAATCAAGTTGCAGAACGAAAACCTTACAGTTTCAGTTTCTTTAAAAAAACAAAACTAAAATATACCTACACACATTCCTCAATGCCCAAGAGTGTGTGGGAGCCCTAATCAAAGGATTAGGCTGGATGTTCAAGGACAATTTGCCATACGCATGTGCAAAGGCAAGGACACAGCAGTTTTACTGTATGCATTGCCCAGGCATATGTTTCTATAACCCAAATATTGATGTCACTATTTGGCAAGAACTCTCTTTTGTCCAAGTTGCTATAAGAGTGTGTTGCTGACCAGCAGGTGGCTGGCTCCTATGTTTGCTGTGGCTACTTTGTGAGTCTGCTTTTGCATGGCTGCTTTGTGGGGCTACTTTGTCTGATGGCTCCTTGTTAGCAATGGCCACTAGGTCTCCAAGAAAGTCTCTTATCTGCCTACCACTTCTCATATCTTCTCTGTTTAATACCCAGCATTCAAGGGGGTACAGCCCCTAGCAGAAAAGGACTTGTGCTCCCACAGTTGGCATAATCAAGCATGATCAAGGAGGAACTTACTCCCACAATTGGCCCAGCAAGCAGGGTTCAGGAGTAAGTGCTCTGACAGAGTGGAAGGAAGAGTTCAGTCTTGGGGATTGGGAAGAAGAGGGCTAGAATCAAAATTGGCTATTTCATTAACATACATAAACAACTTCACTTATCATAAACAACTTTCTAATATCATAGACAATAAAAATGGGTATTTTCTTTCCACACACCTTTATATTCCTTACATCAATCCCATATTTTTCTTATCTTTGATGTAAATATTTACCACCAAAAAAGCAGAAAGCAAGTGAACATGTTTTAAAATAAATGTCTTGGTGATTTTCTTTTAGGTGAATAGTGTGTGTTTAGAAGAAGTTACTCATGAAGAAGCAGTGACTGCTTTAAAAAACACATCTGATTTTGTTTATTTGAAAGTGGCAAAACCTACAAGTATGTATATGAATGATGGCTATGCACCACCTGATATCACTAACTGTAAGTCCCTTTGCTTTCATCTATGTTATTGTTGCCTTAGATACTTTTTTTAGTCTCCTTGTAGTAAACTCTTTTTTTTTAAGTCTTTATTATTGAGAGTATTACAGATGTCCCCCTCTTTCCCCTTATAGTCCCCCTCCACCCAGTTCCAACTCTACTCCAGGCCTTCACGACCCTATTATCTGTGTCCATAGGTAATGTATATATGCATATAAGATTTTTGGTTAATCTCTTCTCGCTCCCCTCCTCCCCCCTGTCCTCTGAGATTAGTCAGTCTGTTCCATGCTTCCATGCCCCTGGTTCTGTTATATTCATCACTTATTTTCATTAGATTTCTTGTTCGTTTATTTTGATTTTTAGATTCTGTTGTTGATAGATATGTATTTACTGCCATTTTATTGTTCATATTTTTTATCTCCTCCTCCTCCTCCTCCTTCTTCTTTTTCCTCTTCCTCTTCTTAAGGATTACCCTTCAACATTTCATGTAATTCTGGTTTGGTAGTGATTAATTTCTTTAGCTTTTTCTTATTTGTGAAGCTTTTTATCTGATCTTCAATTCTAAATGATAGCTTTGCTGAATAGAGTAATCTTGGTTGTAGCCCCTTGCTATTCATCACTTTGAATATTTATTGCCACTCCCTACTGGCCTGCAAAGTTTCTGTTGAGAAATCAGCTGACAGTCATATGGGCACTCCCTTGTAGGTAACTCACTGTGTTTCTCTGGCTGCTTTTTAGATTCTTTTTTTTGTCTTTAACCCTTGGCATTTTTATTATGATGTGTCTTGGTGTGGGCCTCTTCGGATTCCTCTTGTTTGGGACTCTCTGCGTTTCTTGGACTTGTAAGTCTGTTTCTTTCACCAGGTAGGGGAAGTTTTCCGTTATTATTTCTTCAAAGAGGTTTTCAATATCTTGCTCTCTCTCTTCTCCTTCAGCACCCCCATAATGCGAATGTTAGTACACTTGAAGTTGTCCTAGAAGCTCCTTATACTATCTTCATATTTTTCTATTATTTTTTCTTTTAGCTCTTCTGATTGGGTGTTTTGTGCTTCCTCATATTCCAAATCATTCATTTGATTCTCAGAATCCTCTACTCCACTGTTGAATCCCTGTAAATTATTCTTTATTTTAGTAAGTGTATGCTTAATGTCTGACTGGGCCTTTTTCATGTCTTTGATGTTCTCACTAAGGTTCTTAAAATTCTCACTAAGATCCTTGAAAATCTCACTAAGTCCCTTGAAGCTCTCATTAATATCCTTGAATAACCTTATAACCACTGTTTTGAACTCTGTATCTAGTAGTTTGCTTGCTTCCATTTCATTTAGTTCTATTTCTGGAGACTTTTCTGTTCTTTCATTTGTGACCTGTTTCTTTGTCTCCACATTTTGGCTGCTTCCGGGTGTTTGTTTCTGTGTATTCTGTAGAGCTGCTATGTCTCCTGGAATTGGTAGAGTGGCCTTGTGTAGTAGGTGTCCTCTTGGGTTGAGTGACTCAGCCTCCCCAGTCACCTGAGCTGGGCCCTCTAGGTGCACCCCTATGTGGGCTGTGTGGACAGTTTTGTTGTAGTTGAGCCTTGATTGCTGTTGGCGTCAGCAGGATGAATTGACCTCCAGGCCAATTGCTGCTGACTACAGTGGAAGAGCTGCTGTGCAGGAGACACTCCACAGGACTTGCTTCAGTGTGCTTTGGTGCTCACTGAGTCTTCCCCTTGAGTGTGTCACTTGTGGATGTGTAGAGTTGTAATCTTCTATGGTCTGAAGCTGTCCACCAGGTGCACTGGTTCATGGGTCTTCCTGGAGGTGCAAAGTCAGCCACTGCCTGGGGCCACCCAGCAGGAGCTACAGAGTAATCTGCAGATAGCTGCTACTTGTACTAGGCCTGGAAGTGCCCAGGCAAGGCCCAGCTCTGAAGCAAGGCAGGCTGATGCTAGTGCCGGGTGTTGGGCCTCTTACTGAAAGGTATGAGGCACACTGACGCCAGCTGCTGCTTGTTTGAGAAATTTTACGGAAGTCTGTAGCCTGAACCAGAACAGGCCATTCATATGGAAAAGCTGCTGCAAACAGCTTGGGGTGGGGGCGGGGGCGCTCAGGAAATCACCAGGGGGGAGCAAGCTGTGTGAGACAAGCTGATGAAAACTCAGATATGGCTGCTGGTCAGCTCTGGAGTTGAGGGGAGGTCCCAGCATGGGAACAAGGATCCCTGTGAGATCTCCTGTCTGGGAGAAAGCTGCACCTGAGTTCTTGCCCTGATGCCTGACAATGCAGTTCCTCCCTGAATGTCCCAGGTTCCTTTCAAGCTGCTGCCCCAGTGCTGGAGCCCAGAGGGATCAAGTCCGTGTGCTGTCCCTTTAAGAAGAACTGCCTGGGTCTCTAGCAGCTTCCGTGTTACTCAGCCCAATTACCACTGGTTTTTACAGCCTAAAGTTACGGGGACTTCTCTTCCCAGCTCTCAAATCTTTGGCTGTGGGTCCGATGTGGGGCTGGGACCTCTTTCTCCTCACAGGAGGCTTCCATAGCTACAATATCCTTCCCAATTAAAAACACGCTACACATGGGCATCGTACCAGCCTTTTCCATGCCTTCTCCCCTCCTACCAGTCTCAGTGTGCTTTCTTCTTCTCTACTTGTAGGGCTTCCATTCGGCCAGATTTCAGGTGGTTCTGAATGATGTATTTTAGTTGTAATTTTGTTGTGGTTGTTGGTGGCAGCAAGTACCAGCATTTACCTATGCCGCCATCTTGGTTCCCCTGTATCCTTAGATGTTAAATGTATTTTTATAAAAAGTTTACAATATAAAGTTAAGACATTATACAAATATTTTTAAAGAAACTACTAAGCATTTTAACCTAATAGTTTTGAAAAATCAATTTTAAGTCAGAATCTTCATAATGGGGGTGGGGCTTTTCACCTTTAGTGTTTTATAGCAGCAATTATTAACATTTAAAGCATTGATTCTCAAACTTTTATGTAAATAGCAGTCGCCAAAGGTTATTTGCAAATAATGTAGATTCTTGTTTTGTTTTAATAGTTTTGGAGTACAGAAATTTATTTAAACAAGCAATTGATTCTTTTAACAAGCATGGTAATTCTAATGATTCTAGTGCTGCTGATTCATGGCCACACATTGAGAAACACTAATTAAAATACAGTATTTCAAACACTTGGGCTTTTCTATAGTCTCAACTATGTGCACACAGATATTATTTCTATACGTCAAGCTCCTACTGTATTGCCTAACTATATTTGTGTACAATACAATTGTGTTGCCTGGAATTGAATTGTTATGAAAGTACTTATTTATGTTATGTTTCCTATTTTATTGTCAGTTTTTTTAATGTACAAGCTGAGATGAAATTTAAATCTATTTTAATGTATTAGTGTTGGTTACAAAATGAAAGTTTTGTTTGGTGCATTGAGTTCATTTTAGAAGCACCATGTGTAGTAAAGATCTTTAATGTATTCCTTTTAATATCCTTTTCCAGGTTTTTCTTTTTTAAATTGTAGAGATATTTGTGAATTTTGCAGTGGCAATATTTCCAATTTTAAATTTGGCAAAATTCATTATCATCAGTAATTATTGTAAGTTAAATACAAATTATAGCCCTAGTTGGTTTGGCTCAGTGGATAGAGTGTCGGCCTGCGGACTGAAGGGTCCGGGTTCGATTCCAGTCAACGGCACATGCCTGGGTTGCAGGCTCGGTCCCAGTACGGGGCGTGCAAGAGGCAACCAATCAATGATTCTCATCATTGATGTTTCTATCTGTCTCTCTCCCTTTCGGAAATTAATAAAAATATATATTTTTTAAAAATACAAATTATATTTTGAAATGTATCTACTGTCCTCCAGTGGTACATCTTTATTATCTGCTCATTGAGTTCTTATTTACTCAAGTATAACTAATAGTATTCGGTCTCTTTAATGGATAAGAATGATGTCCTATATTTCATTTGTGTCAGGAAAAAACTTTGCTACTTGTTTAAAATTCTTACATACAGTTGATTTTTAGCACAAATCTATAAGGACTTAATGTATTTTTATTTGTGCTTGCAAATTCAATAACAAGCAAATCACCAATTTGAGTATCAATCTTATTTATTATGCTGCTTTATCTGTTCAAGACAACTATGTGTATTACTCAGCAATAAAAAGAATGATATCTTGCCATTTACAATAACATGGATAGACCTAGAAGGTATTGTGCTAAGTGAAAGAAGTCTGACAAATAACATTATTTCACTTATATGTGGAATCTTAAGAAAAACAAATGAATAAATGAAGTGAAATAGAACCAGACCCCTAGATGCAGAGAACAAACTGATGGGGTGGGGACCAGGAAAGAGACACCTATGTGCACATTTGTAACAATTGGTCCACGAGTTGAGAATTGGTGTCCTGTTTATGGTCAAATATACAAATAGCCAGGCTGCTTCTTACAAATATATTGAACTGAAAAATATTATTTTTTATTGAATTAGTCCTTTTTATTTATAATATGACATTTTAAAAGTGGAAGAGCTAGTTCGAAAGAATAGTAATTAAATAATGTTTTGTTGTTTTCCCTAGAGGCATCTGTTATTGAACTAATAGAACAATGATTTTCAACCTTTTTCATCTCATGGCGCACACAAACTAATTACTAAGACAGATATATGTTTTGCTGATCTGACCAAAGAAATAGGTATAATTTTTATGGATTTACAAAAAAATAATAATAGTAATTACCTACACTTTTTTGCTTCAAAGTGACTTTTTAAAAATCAGGTGCCTATCTATAGTATATAAAAGCCAAGCAACTGGAACAGTGGAACGACCAGAACAACCCAAATGATCGGTCGCTATCTGCAGCAGCCAACTGTCCCAATGGGAGCCCCGATCGGCCCTCCCAACCACCCATAGCCCTTCCCCTTGGCCAGCCCTGCCCCCAATCGGCCCCCCCACCCTGATTGGAATTGGGGATGGTGGCCAACCTCCCACGTCCCCTCCCCCCTCACCCCTGCTGGCCCG